ATTTTGGATATCAGTCATAGACTGTCACCTATCAGATCAATCTCCTGCCACATAGCAACTGAATAGGTCTAGCAATATAGGAGTCAAACATCTGAGCACTCTGACATTGCAGAATGGTTCACTTCTACAAATCAGGAAAAGGGGAAAGAAAACCCTCTTTCTGAATCTGAACACCAAACTCCCACTGTGGACCCCACACTGCCACAGTTGAAGAAGAAAGCTGGCATTTAGCTAATTCAGATCAAAGGGAAGCACAGAAACACACAACTACAGAAATCTACTCCAAAGAAAAATCAAAAACTGAGTACATCACCAGATGACTAAGCATTGCACCAGAGTCTCAAGAAATATGAGAAATCCAGAATGTACTTACTCCCTCAAAGGAACACAAGAATTGATCTTCGACATTTGAAAAGAAGAGGAAATCACTGAACTTCCAGGAGAAGAATCCAGAGTATTTATTGTAACTAAACTCATTGAAATGTGAGAGGAAAAAAATAAAAATAAAACTATTACTGGGCAAGAGATTCCATGACTTGAAGGAGGAACTCCATAAAGAGACTTCATAAAAAAAAAAAATCAAACAGACCTTCTAGAGATGAAGTCTGTAATACAAGAAATCAAAATCTCTTTCGAAAGTATTAATAGCAGATTAGACCATACTGAAGATAGGACCTATGATCTGGAGGAAAAAATCTCTGACATACACAAAACCACGAAGAAGAATGAAACATTTTTTTAAAAAATGATCACATACTGAAATACTAGATATGATAAATGCCAAACATACCTATAATTGGTATTCTGAAAGGAAGAAACTTATAATTATTCAGAAAATCTATTTTTGAATTGCTTGAAGAAAACTTTACAAGCCTAGAGAAAGATTTGGCAATACAGACCCACAAAATACAAAGGACTCTAACTATAATCAACCTCAGAAGATTGTCTCCATGGCACATCATAGACAGATTTGTAAAAGTGAAAGACAAAGAAGAAATTCTAAACTTGGCAAGAGAGAAACATCAAGTTATGTACAAAGGTTATCCCCTTAGGCTATCAGACCTCAACTGAAACAATGCAAGCAAGGAAAGAATGAGAAGATATATTCAAAACTCTAAAAGAAAATTTCAACCAAGGATACTTTACCCAGAAAGACTTCTCTTCATGTAGGAAGCACAAATAATATCATTCACTGAAAAAAAAAAAAACTGAAAGAATTCACCAACATTAGACTAGCTCTTCAAGAAGTACCGAAAGCAATGCTATATTAGAAAAACCAAAGAGAGAAAAATAGAACTAAGAGAACAAAACAACCAAGAAAATGGCTATCAAAATCACAGGCAAATGTCCTTGAATATCAGTAATAAAATAGGATGTTAATGCATTAAATTCTCACATTAAAAGACACAGGCTGGCTGAATGGATTTTAAAAACAGAAGCCATGTGAATTCTGCCTACAAGAAATACAATGCATGGATAAAGACAAACACTGACTGAAAGTTAGAAGCTGGAAAAAGATATTCCAAGCAAATGGAAATTTTAGAAAAAGGCTGGCATCACAATAGTGATATCAGGCAAAATAGACTTTAAGACAGACACTGTAAGTAGACAAAGAAGAACACTATATATTACTAAAAGAGCTAACTCATCACAAAGATGTAACACTTATAAAAAAAATTTAAAAAATGCATCTATGCATCCAACACTGGCACACCAAATACATGAAAGATAAACTGTTTGATCAAAAAAGAGGGAGGCTTTGACACAATATTCACTGGGGTTCTGTTTTCTTTGGCAAGATCACCTAGACAAAAAATAAGCAAAGAGATACAGGATCTAAATGATAACATAAATTGAATAGACTTGACTGCCATCTACCGAACTTTCCACCCAACAAACGACAAAATATACCTTTTTTTCATGCCTGTGTGGAATATTTTCAAATATTGTCCATATGATAGGGTACAGAATAAGACTTTACAAGTTCAAATGGATAGACCCTATATCCAACAACTTCTCCAGCCATGATGAAATTAAACTTGAACTGCAGAAAAAGTCATCAAAAGTATGCAAATACATGGAAAGTAAACAACTTATTTCTAAATGACTACACAACCACTGAAGAAATTAAGACTGAAATCAAAAGATTCATTAAAACCAATGACAACATGGACATAAGTTATCATCACCTGTGAGACACTATAGAAGCAGTCATAAGAAGGAAGTTCATAGCAATTAGTGCCCGGAAAAAAAAATTAGTAAGAATGGTGATGAATGACAACCTAAAAACACACCTCAGGGAACTGTAAAAACAATAACAAAACACTACAACAGAAATAAAGATTAGATTAGAAATATGTGGAATATGGGTGAGCAGGTGACGTATTGTTTAAGGCACTGGATTTCCATGTGGTCAACCATGATTCTAGTCCCAGAACCAGTGGTTTGAAACTCACACTGGTTGCATGAGTGTGTGTGCCCAAAATACTGAGAGGCAATGGAGGAAAAGGGATTGTAGTTTGGCCATTCCCCCAAGGTAGTGCATTCTAACTCTAATTCTCTCTCTCTCTTTCTCTCTCTCATGCATGCACCCTTTACTGAAAAATCTCTTTAAAATAATAGATATAGAGGAACCAGGAGTAGCAAGAGAGATGATCTGATTGAAAAGGGACCTCATCTCTGACCTCTTGTTGCACTCTCACCACCCATGTGT